GAATAGGGACACCTTCCAAAGTGCACCCAGAGAGATTTCAGAATTGCTACAAACCAAGAGCTCTGGTAGCATAGTGCCTAAGGCACTTGACTGATAACCAGAAGGCTGGTGGTTCAAACCCACCAGCCACTCCTCAGAAGGAAGGTTGGGCAATCTACTTCCGTAGCGATACTGCCTCGGAAACCCAAGAAGGGGTCGCTGTGAGTCGGGTCCGACTCGATGGCACATAACAACAACAACAACAATGGTCCTAACAAAGTGTTTCATATTTTCTAAACCTTCTTTGTATACATTAAGATCAAATCTGAAAAAGGCAAATGGTCTATTGGCCAGAAGGTTCTCAGTGAACACATCACCAGAAAATAGCAATGTTTGCTACAGTCTAATCTTTAAATATCACATCTCATTATTTATTAATGAGATAAATAAGAATCTCTGCAACTAACAAAAATTAGGATGGAGTTTTTAAAATATATAGTTTTCAGAAATTCAGAGAGTGCTTGACATCTATAGCAACATGGCATCATGTTGGTAAGAATGTATCTTAGAAATATAAATACCCACTGCATCACACGAGAAACGTCAGTGGTTATAAATATCATCAATTATGTTAAAAGGAATGAATTCCTAAGACTGATATAGAACCTCTAGAAGGAGCATTTCTTTTTGTTCCTCAACCATCCAAATGCCAAGTGTACATTTATAAGCATACCCTACCTTATGATACCACCCGTCTGTCAGTTTGTCAATTGGGATGGCCTGTGTGTTGCTATATGCTAGACGCTATGACACCAGTATTTCAAATATGAGCAGAGTCAGCCAGAGTGGACAGGTTTCAGAAGAGCTTCCAAACTAAGACAGATTAGGAAGAAAGGCCTGGCTATCTACTTCCAAATATTAGTGAATGAAAACCTTACAGATCACAGTAAACAATGTCTCACTTGGCTGCTTTGGACATGTCATCCTGAGGGGATCAACTGCTGGAGAAGAATATTGTGTTTGGTGAAGTAAGGAGTCAGCAAGAGTGAGGAAGACCCTCACTGAGATGACTGACACAATAGCCACAACAATGAAAGTGAACATGCCTGCAACTGGAGGATGACACAGGACCAGGCAAGATTTTATTTTGTTGTAATAAAGTGGCCAAGAGTCAGAGTGACTCAACCGCAGTCAACAGTAGCAAACTGCGATATGAGTCCACTTCCTGCTACCTAAGTGTGAAGAGAAATAAGAGCTTTGTGGTCTTTGCAGCTAGGATTTGGGCACATGAGTCCACCAATAAGATGCATCCACTCTAGATTTCAAATATAAATTAGCTTTTAGAAGCAGGAACTCCCTAGACTACACCTGGTGAGGATGCAGCAATTACACTGAGTTTTCAGAGGCAGCAGAGAATGATTCTTGTGGCAACAGTCTAGCATCAGTGGTGCTGGGAGCACAAGCAGCAATGTCTGTGCCCTGCAGAAGTGCAGAGGTGTTTTCATGAGACCAATTTTGTGGTAAGACTTTGCTTTATCTTGGCAATATGGTCTTTGGGAGCTCTGGTAGCATGGTGCCTAAGGCACTTGACTGCTCACCAGA